ACTCTTTCCTGCTTATGCAGGGGGTCGGACTCGATGATCTATTGAGGTCCCTTCCGACCCTAACATCTATGAATCTATGAATCTTTTGTGCTTACTTAATCTGTGCTAACTTGCTTTTATCTGCTTTTTAATTTGAAGAATTTGAATATATGGGACCAGGTGAATCAAGTCTGTGTGCATGTTCACTGCCTTCTAAAATCATTAACTTTCTAAGAGATTTGAAGCTGTAAGAGAAAAGTGGGTCAAAGGTTGCTGAGGTGTTCTGTATGGTAGCATGACTGGTATCACAGCCAAGGTGGATGAAGCCTGTGCTCAAGAGCTCCAGGGTATGAGGGGCAAGCTCCAGGTAGGAGTTGTGTCAGGGGATGGTATTGTACTCTTCCATGTAGCTGTGTAGGGAGATGTTTTGGTGGTACATAAATCCCTCTAGGGGTTTCAGGATGGGATCTAGTACCCATTTGTCTCTAAACAAGGGGCATCTCTGGAGTGCTGGTAGGTCAGGTAAACACCTGTACGTGCTAGAGTGTAAAGACTTGAGATTCTTGAGTTTTCTCCAGGTCTAGAAAAGCTCATTTGCTTCTGAAACCAAAAGAAAGCTGTGGAAAAGTAGCTCCTACCTAGCCCAGTGGTGCTGAGTAGCTGGTTACTTACATAGATTACTAGGGGCGTGACATTAAATATTCTGCAGTGTTTGACTAACCACGTGAGTGTAGAGATGTGTGTCAAAAGGCATATACCTATTTCAAGGACATAAAGTTATAGAAGTTTTAATAGAATAACAGCTCCACTGTTTCTTAATGGTACGTACAGACATTTGTGGAAGTTAGGGGGCAGTTAGCGTTAAAAATGGCCACTGGATCAGATGGGAGGGGTATGTGTCCACTGGGGGCTGTGGGGAGTAGGGTTTTTTTAGCTCCTGATTCCCCGCAACCAGCAGACAAGCAACACCCCCTGCCAACTGCACATCGCTGTGCTGGAGGTTTGGTGTGTGGCACAGTGCCTACCTGCCTCCCTTTGGTTGGCTGCAGTATAATCTTATTCATACACTCTTTGATTTATTCAAATAAAATTATTCACTAACTATACTATGTATCTCCCCCTGTATTTACCTTTTATTTTGAAGAGATATACATTCAGGATTGTGAAACTTAACACAACCACGAGGATCACGCTCAGCGCCACCATCCAGGGATTCACCCTGGGAAAAAAGACAGCTGAAAAACAAGATGCCCAGGGCTTGCTTTAGTTTGTTATTGGTGAAAAAATATCAAATGTATTTATTCCAAGGCCATCCATTAATAGTTCCTCTCGGGAATTGCCTGAGATATGAATGAGAGCAGCAACTCCTAGAGTTGCAAAAAATCAGAAATATGCTTTAATAACCACCAACCTGACTTTCCGTCGTGATTTATAATGAATAAACTGGAAACATGCTATCTCACCTTTATATGGCTAAGTGGAAATTATTTAGCCATATTGGCAATTATGCCGTGTTAGAATAGTTTTTCCATCCGTAATGGAAGAGGATCAATCTTTATGTGAACGTGCTAGAAACAAAATCCAGAAATACTTTAAAGTGGGTAGGGCTGGACGTGAAGTGCAGGGGGAGGGGTAGGAAACAGGGTCGGACCTGGACCGACTGGGGGGTAAGCACAAAGCAGGGGGGACGGGGTTGGATCCAAAATGGGGAGGAGAAGGGTTGGGGTCAGACCTGAACTGTGGGGGGTTGGGTAGGACCCTCAGTGTGGGGGAGGGAAGGGGAGTGGCGTCAGACCCAAACTGGGGTCGAAGTGGGCAGCATGGTACTACACGAAGCGGGGTGGGCAGTGTCAGATCCAAACCAGGGGTTTAGAGGTGGCAGGGGCAGAACCAAAGCAGGGTGGAATAGGACCCAAACAGGCGGAGTGGGGGCAGCGAGGTCATACCCAAACTGTGGGGAGGGGGTCACTGGGTAGGATCTGAATGGGGGGTGGCGTAGGAGCCTTAGTGGAGGGGAGGGGAGGAGGGAGAGGGTTCGGACAAGAACCAGTAGGAAGGTGGGGCGGGGGGGGGAAAGGGCAGAGGGGGCGGGC